ACACCCAGCCTTCTGCTCCCCAGCACCCAGCTCTCTTCCCCGTGGCACAGCTGCCCATTGGCAGGAGCCAGCTCTGCCGGGGCACACTCTCCTGGTGCAGCCTGCCGAGCCACCCCGCAGCAGCGCGCCCACCCACGGGGACAAAGGGAAGCTCTGTCTGAGCCCGGTGTTAAAATATTTGGCATGGCCTGAGCATGGCAAACAACTCAAGACACGTCTGTTCTGACTCCAGCAAGCACCGCTAACAGCAGGGCAGCCCCCTGTCCCAGCACAGCCTAGGGACCAGTGGGTCAGGAGCAGCCCTGCCGAGAAGGACTGGGGGGTACTGGTGGTGACAGATGGGACGTGAGCTGGCACTGTGCGCTCACAGCACAGAAATCCAAGCATCTCCTGGGCTGCATCACCAGCAGCATGGGCAGCAGGGTGAGGAGGGGATTGTCCCCTCTGCTCTACTCTCCTGAGACCCTGTGGGGCACTGCATCCAGCCCTGGGTCCCCAGCACAAGACAGACATGGACCTGTGAGAGCGGGGCCAGAGGAGATAATGGAAATGGTTCTAGGGTGGCACAGCTCTGCTGTGGAGAGAGGCTGAGGGAGTTGGGGTTGTGCAGCCTGGAGAAGGGAAGGCTCTGGGGAGACCATACTGGGGCATTTCAGTAAACAAAGGGGCTTATAAGAAAGATGGAGAGAGACCTTTTTCCAGGGCTGTAGTGACAGGACAAGGGGCAGTGGCTTTAAAACTGCAAGAGGGCAGGGTTAGGTTGGGCATAGGGAAGACGTTTTACAATGAGAGTGGTGAGACACTAGGACAGGTTGCCCACAGGAGTTGTGGATGTGTTCCATCATTGGAAGTGTTCAAGGTCACGTTAGACACGACTCTGAGCAACCTGGTCCGGTGGAAAATGTCTGTGCCCATGGCGGGGGTTGGGGGGGGGTTGGACTGGATGATCTGTGAAGGTCCTTTCCAACCTAAACCATGACCCCATGACTGGAGAAATCCCCTTGCCCAGGAGATCAGAGTGATGTGTAGGTCAGTGGGAATGGGGATGTGACCACTGAGGCTGCCCACCTGTCCCTGCTTCGCAAGCCCACTGCAGCCCCCTCTGAGCCCCCAAACCCCACCTGCCTCTGCCAGCCCCACGCTGAGCTCAGACAGGCCCAAACTCCAGCTCCTGCTGCCTGGCATGGGGCATGGGACTACCCAGCTGCTGACCCCACACATCTCTCTGGGCAGGTGGATAAAGTTCGAGGAGAAGGTGGAGGATGGCGGGGGGCGCTGGAGTGTGCCCCACATCCCAGCCCTCTCCCTGCACAGCCTCTTCCAGCTGAGGACGTGCCTGCAGAAGGGGACGATGCTCCTCGATCTGGATGCCTCCAGTTTCAAGGAAATAATCGGTATGTGGGGAATGCGAAGGTCTCCTGGTCACCAGAGAGGGACCAGGCCACCAGGAGGTCCCTATGTAGAAGCACTAATGGATGATAGCCGGGTACCTGGGGTGGCTGGCTGCAGCTCCAGCAAGGTGAGCTTTGCCCTGGGCAGCCCTGCACTGGGCAGTGAAGTGGGGGGAGCTCAGGGCTGTCCCCATCCCTGTTGCAGACAAGCTGGTTTCTGGGCAGCCTGAGGAAGCAGAGCTGCAGCCAGAGCTGAGGGAGCGCCTGGCAGCCCTTCTACTCCGCCAGCCACGGCACCAGCCCACCAA